AGTCAAATATTTTCCTACAGACTTTGTAACCGAACTATTGCAATATACTCATGTCTGGCAGCTAAAAAGGCAGTCGAAGCTCATTATCCTGATGTTTACAGTAAGCAATACAAATGGCTGAAACAGGATTTTGAAATACTTACTATCAAACCACTTTAAAGAATCTGTTTACATACTCACTATCATTTGTAACGTAACTTACTCGTGAACATAGGGCTGATAGCGAAATCCTTCAAACAGGCAGGTTCAGGTAGAAGGTTTAGCTTTACCTGGTGATCGCCAGGTAAACCTGTGTGCGGCAGTACTGGACAACGCCCGGGGGACTGAGAGGAACCAGACAGGATTGTCCGGGAGCCCCTCGTGCAGAGGAATGGCTGAAACTGGCTGAAGGAGAGGAGGTGAAGGCTGTGAGCATCCTGGAATAGCAACTGGTGATCTGACTCACCGGTATATTAATCAGTCAGGCATTCTATTTTATTTTTACTTTGGAACTCTTAGATACGCAAGGGAAGTATTTTTTTTTCTCTTAAACATGTTAACTTAAAATGGCATTAAGTGTGTTTTAAGGTAGGGGTGTCTGGTGAGTGCTACAGCTTTTTTTTTTTTTATGTCCCTTCTGACACAAATTGAAACTTCTCCTTGCTGACAGCACTGAGCTTGTTTAAATCACCAGGCCCACGCTACAGCGTTGTGCCTTAAACTGGCACGACCGAAAACGGAACCGTCTGAATTTCAGTTCCAGCTGAAACATGGGCAGGGCAAGGAAGCTTGTCGGTAGCATCCCAGCAGGGAAAGACAACGGCGAGGAGGCAGGGACAAAGGGAAGTGGTGCCTGGGGTTTGAAGGGGTTGTACATATATATCTGCTCCTTGGGCCCCGAACCACATCTTTGGTGTGATTCAGTTTTTAACAAATGTCATCTTTTTTCTCTTTGGTGAGACATGTGGGTTTTGACCAGGTTTGGTGTCTTCGTGTGATGATTTTGTAGCTAATACTCTGGATGGTTCCTTTGGCTGCAGACTTGGCGCTTTCTCGAATACTTACTGACGGTTGTTGGGACTGGATGGTCCCCAAAAGGTGTGTGTTCTTCTTCTCAGTTGTCATCCGCTGCTCTACTGAGGCGTAAATCCCTGGCTCTTCCCAGCCGTTGCTTTGTTGTAGTGGTCAGCAAAGCAACGTTGCTAAAATGCTCGTTGTGTTGTTTCAATAAACCAGCAGCAGCTGCAAAAGAGAAGGCTAACCTAAGTTAATGCATTGTTCATAAACCCCTTCTCAATAAGGAAGTGGGAAACCTCACTGAGACAACATGATTTTTTTAAATTTTTTTTTTTTCCTTCAAACTAAATGTCAATGTGAAACTGCTGCTGAACGTTCGCACTCAGACTAGGAGGAGAAATCTGCATACTCTGACTTATGAAGCCTTATGTATATTTTAAAGCTTTTTCCCAAGTCTTTTTTAACCAAATCTATGGACCACTCCACAAAATGTTAACTGAAATTCTCCCAAAAGCCATTGGCAAGGGTGATTTGACCCCGGCAGACCAAGCAGGATCCCATGTTATGGCGTGCTGCAGGGTGTTTTAGTGCTGGAGAGGTATTTGCATTACTTTTTTTCCAGCTATGAGTCTCTCTTTCTATGTACATGGTAACTTCATGACACACAGAGATGTTCTTTTAAGGTCCTTGCCACAAATAGCTTCCAGCTGAGAGGGAAGAGCTGAAGAGGGTGAAGAGGGACTTGTTTAGAGAAGGGAGGAGGTTTGAAAGGAGCAGAAAGTACATGGTTGTCTCTCATATTAATAATGTTTGAGCATCTTCTTAGTTGTGACTCCCTACAAGTCTCGGATGATCTTATGCAGTATATTAGCTCCTCACAGGAGCACAGGCACTGCTTGAGGGAGGAGTTGCTGCTGCTGTCGGACCAGTGCCTCCACAGCACGACTGATACTGTGGTTGGCTTTCGTTCTGTAAAAACTCTCTTTCTTTTTTACAGCAGTGAGAACTAACATTAGTTAACCAGAGGTGAGTGTAAAACCTTGGTGAAGATAAGGAACAAGTAGCCTTTGACGCTGCTAGCAAGAGCCTATTGTGGGTTAGGAGTGTAATATTCCCTTTTATCTACTGCATCATTACCCGACTTCCCCTTTCTTCCTTGAAAATAATGACCCCGTACACACGTCTGCAGAAGGAACAAAGTCAGGGATATTGAAATCAAGAATTGCAGTTGCATCTAAGTGACCTGGATGAGGGAGAGGAGGTTTTGAAAACCAGAGAAGCAGTTTGGGGTGTGAAACAACCACTCTCCAGCTCAATAACTTGAAGCTCCTCATGTTGCACATTGTGTCTGCACAGGAAGCTCTGCTCATCCCGGCGCGGTGGCAAGTAAACAGGCAGCCGAAACCGCAGCTCCAGCGTGGCTCGTGTGGGTAAATCCTGTTCTTAGTGGTCTTGCCGGGGAACCTCAGGTACCCATTTTCTGCTCCCAAGGCTCCCTTTTACCTAGAGCTTCCCCGAGAAGGGCTTCCCCACGGGGCCCGGGCCTGAGCGACCGAGTGCCTCCGTCCAAATTAACGGGGCTTATGGGCGCTGTGCACCTCTGTGGATTGCTGCCCGCTCCCAGGGCAAGGGGATGAGTCCAGCCTGTTCAGCTCTGAATATGTAGCCTCCAGAGAAGTTGTGCTTCAAAAATTATTATTTTTTTTAATCACAGCTGCCAACTACACGTTGTTGGACGTACCATAAAAATCGTTGGGTTTTCGATTCTTATGGGGACCTAAAAATTGTGCAGCAACAGTTAAACTGGGCTGGGCTTGCAGCTTCTGTGCCTACACAGCCTTGTAGACCTGAGTCACTGGTTAAACTGTCTGAGCGGCTGCTCTCTTAGAGGACGTTGTAACTTCAATAGCCACCTCTGATTATTTTTTTTTTCAGTCGGCAAGTGAGGTTTGTGCTTTGTTGACTTTAATCTCATACCGCTTCCTTGTTATTCTTTTCCATTTCAGAGGGCGACAAGGACTTGCCATTTTGCTTCTCCCCTCCCTCTGTTGCCTGTCTTAGCTACGCTGAGGAGTGACTAGTGGAATTATGTATTTTTTGGCGATGGGGGTGGGTTTGCGCTGCAGACCTTGAAGGTCCTTGAAGGTGAGGGGAGGGCAAGGAGAGACAGAGTTAATGCAAATCAGGAGAGAGTGAGTATAAAAATAGCTCTGAACTTGACGGTTTGGTCACTGGTGGCTTGGGTTAGTCATCTGGCAGGCTCCCTTTCTGCTGCTCCAAGGGATTATTTTACAGCACTCAGATTTGACATAATTTCTGTAGAGGAGAGCGGGATGGGCGTAATGAGTGGGATACTGTCATCAGCACTTCTTTTGCACAGCAGCTGTTCTCTGTTTAGCCGCTGAATGTGGTCATTGTTGACTTTCCTTGTATACCTGCCAGGTTGTTAGGTGACTCATTTACACATCACACCAAGGTTCATGCACTTGGCTCCCCAACGGCTCCCTTCCCTTTTCCTTGGTGGTCCTTTAGGCACGGAGCACCCACTCTGTTTTGTCTTTTTCCTGATTGATCTCTGTGCTGCCAGGAGCCTATAGAGTCCTGTTGTCCCAGGCCACCATTCAAGGCAGAGGGGGGAAAGGAAAGAAAAAAAGGAAGAGAAAATCCCTGGTGCCAATTTAAACTGACGAACCTCAAAGATGTGCTGCTGTAATGGTTCTGAGATCTTGTTTTTGCTGGCCTCCCTTCAGATGTCCTCCTCCTCATCTTATACTGCGTTCAGGGTACTTAACGCCTGTATGTCTTTGCTAAGGTTTCTGAATTTTCATGGGTTGTTTAATGATGGAAATGTTCATTTTAAGGTTTTGTACTTGACCTGTGAGAGGACTGGCACGAGGAAGTGACCTCGACAGTTAAGGGGCAATAGAGCACATTCTGCTTAAAAAGAAAACAACTGGTTTAACTTTTCCAGAATCCGAGGTGAGGGGATCAGGGGCCAAACCAAAGCCAGTGTGGTCATAGGGAGCTCCTAACTCTCCGTGTTCCTGATTTTCGCCCCACAATATTCCCCTTTCCCATCCCGCAGTGCCTTGCTTCCGTGTTGCTTTATGCTTCTCCCTTTCCACCCCTGGCTCCCTTCCACCTTCCTCTGCGCTGCCAATTGGCCAAGATTTGGCATGTGCTGGGACTTGTCTGGAGCTCCATCTGCGCTAACTGGTCAGCTAGCAGCCCGTGCTGATTGACTCGCCAGCTGCTGCCAAGCGGAGGGGATCGTCTTTTCCAGCACCACCGCCGTCCTCTGTCCTACACCACCTTGCCTTAACCCGATACACCGTAAGAGCTCTCCTTTTGGTGGGCTTGAGCAAGGATTTCAAAAGTTACTGGTGACGAAGGGGAAGGAAGGGATGTGAGGGAGGAGCTATGGGTGGGCAGGCAGGTTGCCTGGCCTTGTTTCCTGGGAAAGAAAAATGAGAAATGAATCTGAGGGTGACTGAGTACAAGGAAGAAAGCAATCAGCAGGATTTTGTGGCTGTTTTCTGTGGTGTGAGAGCACAATGTAATTTCTCCTAGGTGCACTCTAGGAGAAAATCTTTCATGTCTTTTTTTTTTTTCTTTTTTTGCGGGGTGAATACTCTTCCTGTTTAGTGCTACAAGAGTTCCCTCTTTTATATGGTTTCACTGTTTGTATTGAAGCTAATGGAATATACCAGGAAATAAATTTCCCTTTGAAACCTGTGTGGTCTCATGTTTTTAGTACTGAGAATAACGTTGATACTCCAATCTTCAGTGGTAGAAGTCAGGGATGGAGAGCTGGCGGTCTTGGGTTCTTTTTCAGCTCCGTGCTCAGAGGTTGGGTAGGACCTTGATTTGGTTTAAATGATTTAGTAACGTGATACCTTCAGCAGCCTCCCATGTCTCATGAACTTGAAGCCGCTTCTGCCTGTGAAGTATTTTGACAAATGTTTTGCTTTGTTTTTTTCTCTTACTCAGTGACTCTCTGAACCTGTGAAATGGCAGTGATGGGAATTACATGCCAGGGAGCTCCCGATCCAGCCGTCAAGCACAAGAAGGAGCTCACAGCTACCAAAGGGCTGAAGGAGACAGTGAGTGAAAAGCAGAGCAGTGTTTGCAAAGTAGAAGATTCAAAGAAGGTCATCTTTCACAGTCAGTGGAAAATCCTGAATGATGTAATCACCAAAGGAACAGCAAAAGAAGAAACAGAAGGAGGCTGTGCATCAATTTCTATTATTGCCCAAGCAGAATGTAAGTAGCAGGGCGGTCTGCTCTTCATTGAGAAAAAGGAATGTGTAACGCAGTATGAGATTTCACTCGCTTTGCACTCCTGGAGAGCTGAGACGAAATCTATTTGTAATCCCAAGTGGGGTGGAGTTGGTGACACATCCCAGTCTCTATTTAGGAAGCTCATGAAATCTCCTGATAATGTGGCAGCATCCACTGGATAAATAACAGAACAGCATGTGGCCGTTGCACCTACCTGCTTTGACTATAAATCTGTGTCTTGGCTGACTTCTGAAAGGTGTTTTAAAAGAGGGGGAAAGAGAAGAAAAACAAAATAAAGCTGTCAGGTGGGAAAGATCTGCTGGGGATCAGGAGATCGCAGTGCTGGGAAGCTGTCTAGTGCTGGGGGAGGAAGAATGTAGCGTGGGTGACGTGGCAGGACTGCGTGGTGATTTGTCTGGATCGCTGTTGGGTTTAACAAGTTGGTAGAGTTGTTTCTTGGTCCGGTTGTTACCAGGAGAGACTTTGCCTGATACTGAAGACATGTGACGATCCTGTTTTCTTTCACATAGGTGAAAACAGTCAGGAGTTCAGCCCCACTTTGTCAGAGAGATCCTTTATTGCTCATAGTAAGCGCTACAGGTGAGAGACTTCTTAACATGAATACCCACCTTCACTGTTGTGTGTGTCCGCTTGTTCCAAATCACCCTGGCTCTGTGTGCTTATCATATTTTTTTCCCAAAGCAGTCCTGTTTGAATTGCCCTTTCTGCCTGAGGCTCAGGAAGAGTGTGTCTTTCCCCAGCCATCTTCATCAAAACCCTTTTTTGTTAGGAGAAAATATAAGTTTAAGCACAAACCACTTGGAGCACCTTGCGCTGTCTCATTGTCAATGCCTGCTGATCTGCTGGCCCTTGTAGTCTTCTGCCTCTATTTCTGGGTGGTCAAATTTCTTTTGAAATGACTGAGTGAATTTTTTTTTTTTTTCTTTTGAGATTCATGGGCTTGAAGTAGAAGGATCCAAGGGAAAATTTTCAGTCTTTTTTTAACTGAGCTGTCCTGATGTTACGTTACACCATCCTCTTTGAAAAGTCGTGGAAAACTTAGGCTGCTGCTGGAAGTAGTCCTGAGAAAAAGGAACCGCTTTGTTTCTGGGGAGGGTAAACAAAAGGGGATGAGAGAAGAACCTTTGCTTAATGACAGCATCAGCAGCAGACACAGAGTTGTGAAGAGAAGCTGGAAGTGGTAAAGGAGGAGTAACAGTTGCGATAGAAAAATGGAGGCCTGGGGCTTGCTTTCCTGAAGCCGTCTGGGAGTGAGCCGCTTTTCCTTCATGAGGAATACGTGCCCTATTGGGGCACATCCTGGAGCTTTACCAAGCAGCTCCAGCACTGTCTGAAGTGGGTGGCTGGGATACAGAATTTGGTGCTGCCTGTTTTCTGGCAGCTTTTAGACCCTGAATCTGGCCCTGTGAGGTCTGTGGTTTGACATTGCCACGGACTGTATGACATTGTCCCGTGAACCAGCTGAAGAAATGCATAGTGAACCATTTCTTAGAGGGTTTATGTGGAATGCACGCCAGCTATCTGTTCAGGTTCAAGGCAATGTGGTAATGCCATCGCTTAGAACTTTCCTTACTGGATCTTTTAGTGCTCGGTGGTGCGCTGAAACCACAGGAGAAGATGGAGAGAGCAATGCTGGCTGTGAACTGCATCACTGTTCAGTAAAGGCAGATGACTATATCTGAATCAACAGCACAGTTGTGATTTCTTTGTCTGAAGATCAAATACCCTGCTTTCTCTTACAACTTGATATTAAAAAAAATCTGAGCTGCTACGATTGGTATTGGATAACCACAGGCAAATATTCCTCTTGAGCGTTGCATCTGTTTGTACAGACCCCCAGTTGGTGTGCTGGCCAGTGCTGGTTTGTATATAGAAATCACATTGTAGTATTGGGCTTTACATGCCAGAACATTTTGGCTTTTTGAAGCTATTTTATTTAAGTGCACTTAGTCATCCCTTTTCTTTGGTGCAAAGCCTATTTTTCTTTCAAATAGAGCAGACGTTTATATTAAGAGCACTTTTATTAATTTTAGCAGTTTTTTAAAATAGATTGATTTATACATAATCTCTGCGTTCACTATAAATCGCAGACATAAACTGTGTCAAAGAAACCTGGAGACATTCAGTGCTTTTCCTTGTGTTTTGCCGTCTAGTCTTGCTGTTCCTTGCAGAATTTGCAAATACTGGGGGACTTAATGCTCTGCTTCCCCCACACACCCTCCGTATTTCTTTCTTACAATGCCAGATACAGTACTCTGCCTTCATACTGAAGTCACAAATGCTGCATATTAGAAGGCAAGAAGTTATGCTGTCATTCTCTATTCTTTAAATCTCAGAAGGCAGAATTGCTAATTCTCACTCTTGTTCTCTTGGTAATTGTTACTGGAGGTGTGCTTTGACCGTCAGATCTAAGAGACTTCATGCGTTTTGGTTCCCAACAGCCGGTCGGACAGTCTCGATCAGATCCCTAACAATGTGGCCCACGCAACGGAGGGGAAGATGGCACCTACCTGTTGGAGAGGGAGGCATCGTGGTAGGACGAAAAAGAAACGTCACAAGAAAAGGTCCAAGCTGAAAATACAAACAGTGGCTGCTGGCAGGCGGGGTCCCAGAACTCCAGAACAAGAGAGCTGCACCCCAATTCCTGTCCAGGTGAGAATCCTTAAGCCTTCCTTTTGTACCGGTGGGACCCCTGCAAACTCCTGACAATTCCCGGTTGAATTTTGGTTGGCTGTCTGGAGGTTCCTGCTCAGCTGTTTTGTTTTGTTTTGTTTTCTAGGAGGATGAGTCACACCAAAATAATCTTTACAGAAACAGTTTTTGGGTTTCAGAATTTAACAAGGACTTGGCCTATGATCCGCTGCCGTTTGAGAAACCAGAGAAGGTTCTGTCCACGGGCAAACCCCATTCACCGAGGAGCCAGTACAAAACAGAACTGCACAAGTTGATAAGCCCCATTCAGTGCCTTAATCATGTTTGGAAACGGCACTATCAGAGGGACAGTGTTCCACAGCCTGAAACTCTTTCTACAACATAATACCCCCCCATTTCCCACATCTGGAGAGTCCTCTCCATGCCATGAAACGTAATGCTCTGGAGATGTACTTCCATGGTGATCTCAACTATCAAGACAGTGAGCATCGCTTCTCTGGCCTGAACTTAGAATATAGTTTCCCCAAATGCATCAACCAGTCCATGAAAACCAGTTCAGACAAGTTTTCTGTGGAAGAATACTTGGTAGACGCCTTGAAGGGGAGCGTGAGTCTCGGTGAACCACAAAATTTAGCCAGCCTAGCCAAGACGTGGAGAGGAGGTGGTCTGGACCCGAAGGAACAGTTTCATGAAGCAGACGAAAATGAAGGCGTGCTGCTTAATGAGGTGATCTTCTGACCCCACACCCCAGTGCCGTGGAAGGCAGAGTTTCTCCTGGGTTTCAGAAGAGGGACAGTCTGTATCTACGTGCTACCTTCTGTAACAAGGCTGCCTTTTCCAAATGGTTCTTGATATGGTTGGAGGCTGCCAGTTAACGTTGCAGTTTTGATTTTTGAAGGCTCTAAAGCCCTTAGATTGGTGGCTCTAATTTGTTCGCTCGTTCACAAAACATGCATGCTTTGTCTGAGAAGTGTTTCTGTGCTTAGTCAGTCTTTGAACGTGTCCTCTCTGTTTGTCTGTGAAAGAACCCAGTCCGTTCAGGTGACGGGCTGCAATATTTTGTTGGCTATAGATGACCTGGACTGTGACACAGACAGAAACCAGGGACACGTACATTGTGAAGGTGCAGAAAGCACGTCTGCTGCCTCTGGGAGGAAACCAGCAGCTCGCACGTTGTCCCTTGCCAAACGCAGGCCTTAGGCATAGCAAATGCATGTAAATCTTAAAGGAATGATTCATTTCTTCTGAATCCAGATCTATCTTGCCACCTTCAAATCCGCTTAGAGGGCTCTTCTCTGGAATCAGCGTGACCCTGTCAGTATTGTCGGTGGAGCTCAAGGTGTCACTCACCTGCCTGAATGTCTTTACACTGAGACCTAAGGCACAATCTCAGTCTAGTGATTATAACACAGGATTAGCTCACACATAGATGTAGGGTTTAGCGTCATAGTTATGTCCTGCATGTGAAGGGAACAGTTTGGAGCTCCAAAGCTATCCAAATACTGGTGGTCTTTCTTTACAGCAATGAGGTGCACTCGTTGGGATCAAACAGAGCCCACAGAAATCACGTAGGTTCTCCCGTATCGTTTCATCTCAATTACTACTGTGACAGCAGTAATTTTGTGCAGGGATTTCGAGGGAGGTGCAGTCGTATCTATCATGATGCTTTTTCCGAAAATGTTGGTCTCTGTCTGTGGAGCTCAACAGTTAAGTGTTTCTTTCCTTGCTTCATCTTTCTTTCTGATTTTAACTTCCAGAAACTAAAGCCAGTGGATTATGAGTACCGAGAAGAGGTTCATTGGACCAAGTGTCACGGTTCTTTGGGCATTGGCTCCTTCGGAGAAGTATACAAAATAGAGGACAAACAGACGGGATTTCAGTGTGCTGCCAAAAAGGTAATTTTGTGTGTGAGAAAGGGGGGGTTCCTGACGCAAGAAGGCATATGGAGAAAAAGTCTTCTCCTTCCGGCTGCCTTGGGTACCTTATTGTACAGTCATAGCGAAATGCTGCTGTGGTTTTGTCCAAGGAAGAACTTCAAGGTGGTGGCATGGAGAGAAGCAGCAGCCGGAGAACCTGTATGTGCGCAGGGGTCAAGCTTAGCAGCCCGAAATAGGCTTGTCTGACCTTCAAAGCGTGCTACAAGGGATCTTGCTTTTTGTGCAGAGACAGGCCGAGAGAGCAGAGATTCCAGAAGGATTGTGTTCCTAGTGCCTGCGGGGGAGAAACGGCCGTGTGAGCTGTCTGCTTGTCTAACTGTTCTCATCTTAAAACACGTCTGGTGTAAGTGGTGACATGGCAGGTGTTTCTCCTGAAAAAAGGAATGAAGTAGGAAAAAAATAAGGCAGCCGGTAGGCACTTAAAACAGAGAGAGCTTTCATCTGCTCAGTGAGCGTCATGTGCAACACTGGCACATTGTACTGAGGTGATTCTGTTACAGATGCAGCAAAGGATGTGTGTTTTTCCAGAAGTTGGCATAATAATCTATTGTACACCAAGATATGCCGTTGTCATAGAATAAATGAAGAGTGTGGAATTAACTTGAATTGGGGTATTGATTTGTAGGCAGCCATGGGGGAACCTCAGAGGGGAAGGCAGAGTGATAATGCAAGTAGATGATGAAAATGTAAACTATTTTGTTTGCACTTAACACTTGAATAGTTTCATCACCTCCATGAACTGATGTTTCTCACGTTACTCCAGTAGAAAACTTCAACAAGTGTGTGGGAAGCATTTGTCTTGAGTACAAAAATATTGTACGCAAAAAGAATTGGAACTTGCGTTTTTCAACTTAAAATGCTCGTTTTTTTATGTTCACATGGGTCTCGACTTGCTGTATTGCCTGTGGAAAGATGTAAGTGCTAACACTAAGCCAGCTTGTCCAGTTTTTTTAACCATTTCATTTGTCAGCTGTATAGAAGCAAACGTATTTAAAGCATGCAGAAAGTGATTTCCTACTGTGCATCCTCACGTTTTAGATGTGAAATTTTGTGGCAGCATGACCAGTTGTTTTCTGACACTATGTAACTACGTAAATTTATTATAAGTTTTGCAAATACAGAGTCTTAGGAAAAATAACTGTTACTAGTGAGGTATATTTACAGGAAGGAGGAGTGGTAGGGCTGAAAAGAAAGATGTGAGAAGCTGAAGTCTTTCAAAATGTCAGGTTTGGGTTTTGTTTCCTAATTACTGGAGGGTTTCAAAGGATACATCTGTAGATCAGAAATACCTCTTCTCAGACCAAACTCTTAAACCAGTGAGTTCTAACATGCAGGCTGGACACATAACTGCGATGCACTTCACTTTACATCAGTAACTGCCTGGAGTTCCTGCCGTCGGCCTGTGTTAGGAGGGGACTACCTGACCTGCCACCATACTCGGTGTTGCAAGCACCTGCTCTCCACATTCTTGAGATTAAAGAAAACTAGCTTTAGCTGTATTGCTGATGGTGAGGAAACATGATACATCCTTTTCCCACCAGAATCTTAATGACTCATGTTTTCCTTCTGGTCTTTAGCAAATTCTTGGTTTATTTTGTTTGGCCGAACTTAGCAAATAGAGTTTTTCTTTAACCTTTTTTCAGCGCAGGCTGAGTATCACCTAAAAAGGTGATTGTGTCAGTCCTTTCCCTCCTGTTTTGGGGGAGTTTTATTTTTGCCAAGCATCCTTGGATATTTTTTTTCCTTCTTTCACGAAAGCAGAATGCTTAAGTTGTCAGTGTTATCTTTTTAACTGAGACAGAAATTACCTTCCTTCTGAAGATTACCAGTCCTCAGACATAAGCCAGAGGGATTGCAACCTGGCATCTTTTCTGGTAAATTTTAACTTTACTCAGACACTGAGGATTTAGGGACTCTCATCATCCTTGTTCAGAATTGTTCTGAGTGTTCCCACTTACAACCCACTGATTCCTGTTAACGAAGGTTATCCTTGTGCCTCTGCTGTTCAGCAGTGTGGGGTGCTCTGACCCAGGCATCAGGGAGGGACGGTTCTGTCAGGATTCATCACAAAATCTGTTCAGCGCTGCTTTGTTTCCCTAGGTACAAGTTGAACACTTCCGTGCAGAGGAGTTAACGACATGTGCTGCCATAACGAGTCCAAAAGTTGTCCCCTTGTACGGGGCTGTGAAGGAAGGACCTTGGGTGACCATCTTCATGAAGCTGATGGAGGGTGAGAAAGGCACGACCCCAATGGAGGCACCATTGTAACTGTTGAGTGCTGTGGACATTGATCTCCTCTTCCTCCTGCCCAAATTCTAAATCTGTTAATCCTTTGGTGTGTCCAGAGTGTCCCTAGCGTTAGTTCCTGAGTGGGCTGGGCTAGGTGTGTGTAACCCCTGCCGTGGTCTTTCCGGGGGGGAATCGTTGCCAGTCCTGCCTCGCTCCGGTTCAAGATGTGTATCTCTTGAACAGCAGCTGCAAGTTCTCACCAAAACGCATGGCTGGTGCTGTTTACGTGCATGGAACAGGGAATACGGTATCAGCAAACCTCGATGCTCCCATTGCCTGATGCTCCTTTTTCTGGCCAGGACCATGGAAATTGCAGCCTGTGAAGATTCAGGCTGCTGATCAGTTACACCCAGAAGTGTCCGATATGATCACAGAGTAGTTGCTTTTGATGCAAAGCAATACTGTTCAGCTGACACTAAGCAAAAGGCTGCGTGAAAGAGGCCACTTTCTGTGGGCAGCACAACTCCGGGAATAAACAAAAGGAACAGACCCACGTGCGGAAGATAAGGGCTGTCAGACTGGGCAGTTCTCGTTTCTTCATCAGAAATGATGAGGAAGGCTGATGACGCTGGGAAGAATTTAAAGATAAGCTAACATGAACTCTCTGGATTCCTTTCTAGGTGGCTCACTAGGTCAGCTAATTAAACAGAGTGGCTGCCTGCCAGAAGACAGAGCCCTCAGTTATTTGGGCCAGGCATTAGAGGGCTTGGAGTATCTTCATGCTCAGAACATTCTCCATGGAGATGTAAAAGGTGAGATGGTACTTAAGGTACCTTGTTCTTCCCTTTCTCTTACAAGAGGCAAACTTCTTGGAGATTAAGTGGCTGCATGGCAAGAGGTTATTTACTAGATTTTCAGCTCTACCTTTGAGATTAGAGCTTAACCTGGTTCTAAACAGCTGGGCATGGTGTGTTTGTCACCTCTTTCTTCCTGTCATCCAGTGGGTCTGACAGGCTGTTTGCCCAGGTAGCCCCACCACTGGGGTAGAGCAATGTCCAGGGCAGATAATTGGTAGCTTAGAAGTTGAGATAATTCTAGTTGTGTACTTGCTTAAGCCGGGGACACTCCATAGGAGTAATAGGCCTTGGTTTGTGCTCAAAAAACTGTAGTTCTGTGGGCTTTTGACTTTTTTCCCATCTTGGTGACCGTAATATAAAGGCAACTGACTAATTAAAAACTTCTCATTGTCAGCGGAAAATGTGCTCTTGTCTGATGATGGAAGCAGGGCTCTTCTGTGTGACTTTGGTCACTCTGCTCACCTTCATCCAGATGGCCTGGGAAAGTGCTTGGTCACAGGTAAGGATTTTCTGCTGCGATTCTAAAGAATTGCCCTACTGACTCATTCTTTCTTTTTGAACATTTACATATGGCTAATTTGCAAGCGACTGTATTTTCCAGCCTTAATGTTGCTCACAGTGTCGCATTTATTGATCTTACTGTGATGTGTCCCACTGACAGCTAAAATGAACCTAAGGTTGGAAGGTGGTCCTTATCTCCCAGTCTAGAAGGCTGTTGTATTTTTTGTGTGTCAGCATACAGCATTCAGTGTTTTGTCCCTGCAAGAAACCACATTGATACTTAAAAATCTAACTCTGACTTGTCATGTAGCCTCACTAAATAGCTGGGGAAAAATCCTGACCTCCACCAAAGCAAAATTCTTCACTGACTTCTGCGCAGTGCTGTTTAATGCAGCTGTTGAAAGAGAAGGTTAGGTTTTGTACTGCTGAGCTCACCAATGGAGGTCGTGTTTTGCCTCCCAGATTTGCTGGAAAGGGGAGCTCCATACCTACTCTCTGTGTAAGGGATGAGACTGATAAGAAGATGTAGCCTTTGAACAGCTTGTAAGAGCAGGAGGTGCTGATTTTGGGGCTGAAGTGGCTTGTTTCTCACTTTAACTAGAAAGGCAAGGAGCCTGCCTGAGGCTTGCCAGCAGTTGTGTTGGAATAATTCTGTAGTTTACGTGCAGTGAGTTTTCATTTGAATGGTTTTAGGGAACTATGTGCCTGGCACGGAGACTCATATGGCTCCGGAGGTGGTCATGGGAAAGCGCTGTGACTCCAAAGTGGATGTCTGGAGCAGCTGCTGTATGATGCTGCATATGCTTAACGGGTGCCACCCTTGGACCCAGTATTACAATCACCCACTCTGCCTGAAGGTGAGTGACCCAACATCCCTCCAGTAAAAGGTACGTAAGCCTGCGAAACCTCGTCGTGCCTGGCTGGAGAGCAGTCGTTTCAGGAAGGCTGGCTGCCAGCCAGCTGGGCATCCAAGCTGATGCCACCCTTCCTTTGGAAGCTGATGGTTTCTGTTGCCTCTTCGACTGCTGGGTGTTACACATGCTAGGGCTGTTTCTTTCGTACCCTTCTCAGGACTTGGGTGTGACTTTTTGGCCATTCAGCTGTGCTAAAATTACTGCTCAGGTCTCTCAATTAATGCTGTAATTTCAGTTGGAAATGCTCGCGGGGTGGGAAGAACCTTTCTGAAATCAAATGAAGCCTCTCTGGTCTAACCTCTTTCATTTCCTGTTTGTTACACAGATAGCTAAAGAACCACCTCCTCTGAGGGAAATTCCACCTTCCTGCAACCCTCTCACTGCTGAGATTATTAAAATGGGCCTGGAGAAAGAGCCTGTTCAGAGAGCATCTGCGTCTGAACTGAAAACGAAGACCAGTGTCGCCCTTGAAGAAGGTAGAAATGTCCTGTCCCTAAAGCTTCTTACCCACGGGTAAAGTGGCCAGTTGCTAGTTGGGTCGGCGTGGTCCTGTGGGGAATACCAGTATGTTTTACTGTTCATCATATCATTTGCACAGGCTGCAGCGTTGATGTATGTTTTGGGGTTGGTAGCTTTTGCTTGCAGCTGGGTGTTTCTCACCCAAATAAATGAAAATTTCCTGTTTGCTGTCACATGCTCTTCGTTCCTTCTCTGCTTGCAGTAGGCGATGTTGTGCTTTATGTGGGTTTATTAAGGTGTGTGCTGTGGCTGGGCTTGTATTCTGCTGAAGTATCAACTGCATCTGGTGAGCTGGAGCCGGGTATGCAGCAAAACTGAAAGCAGAGGTTTACTGCATCCTGGAAAGCAAAGGTTTATTGCATCCTGAGCTGTAACTCATACTTGTGGTCCTGTCTTGCCTCTAAGACTATCCATAATTTGTTTCAGCTTAATCCTGCTGGCAGGTTCTGTAATACAGCAAGAATTTGCAGAGGTGATCTGGTTTTGTCTTCTGGAGAAGCCGGGCATTTTACAGCAAGATACAGTTCAGAAACTCTTATTGTGAAGGAAGACTTTTACTTCCTTTTTTTCTTTATTTGCTAATGTTTGTGTGCTTTTTGTTTTTGTAGTGGGAGGTGTGACAAGCCCCTGGAAAGGTGAATACAGAGAGCCTAGGCATTTATCTCTGAACAAAGAAAACAATCCACAAACGTCCCTGTCCCCCACAGTGAGCCCAGTTTCCGAGACTGGTTCTGACCCAAAATTGGCAGTCAAAGTTTCTTGTGCAAGCCCTGTCCTACCACCACCACCACCTCTGGAGCAAACAGAGCAGGTCGAGGGAACCCCTTGGAACGTCTGCAAGGAGTTACCTGAGACCTGGGACCCTCCACCTCTCTCCTCCACTCCGCTCCCCCTGAAGAGCTGCGGCCATGTGGAGAGAGCAACCACCATTTCAGAGCAAGAGCTTCAGCAGCTGGAAATAGGTAAGCGATGGCCTGTGTAGGGAGTTCAGCTTTTTGCTTGAGAGCACGTTAAACATACAGCTGATTTCTTTTGGCCTCTTGACAGCTACTTCTGCGTTTTGAGCTCGTATGTCATTTTGTTTGTAGTTCCTCTCTCGTTAAGCAACTTGCTCAGCCTTCCTTTAAATTACCAAAACTAGCAGTTCTTAACCAATTAAATATGCCACAAAGGTAGAGGTCAGGATTTCCTTCCACTCTCAGAACAGTGGAGCGAACTTCTGTGAGAGGTGCAGGAACCTCTCAAAAACCAACCGGTTTCAGACCTGTGCTTATGCGCACCAAATAAACAGTGTCTGCAACTCCAACTTTGCCCGAAATTTTAGGTTTTCAAACACAGTTATTTTTGATAAAAGGCAAAACCTGTTGGATGGGAGATGTCAAACAAAGCAGTATAATTAAAATCAGTCTGCAACTGTTTTGTTCTGGGTGGTGGAGTACCTGTAGCCACCAGCCAACAAACTGAATTACCAGCAGCAATCCAGAATTTGAAAACCAGCAGCAAGTTCAGTGTGAAAATCAGTGAACAGTGCAGTTCCATCGCCCCAGTGTAACTCAACCTTTCCCTTTTTTAGTCCCATATTTTCTACTCTCTGTAAATTAATTGAAAACTTCAAGCTAGGAAAAAAGTGTCTTGAAATGTAACTTGTGAGGAATGGCGTTTTAGGGGTTGCTGAGGGCCAGCTTTCTTCTCAAATGGCTTTGGATCTTCAACAGCCTTGTCAGGACTGGGTATTATGAGTGCAAGTTACTGCGAGAGTTGAGTACATAAGTGTGACTTTTCCCTGGATATGATGTGGATGGATCTAGAGTGAAGACTGGTGGGTGACATAATAGGCAAGAACTGGGAAATTCTGGGTGCTAGTCCCGTCTCTGGCATTTTGCATGTCATTGCACAATTCATCTGTCCTTTCCGTTTCCCTGTTCTCACAGTGGTGGCCGTAGCCTCTGCTTAGCAGAGGAGTTGTGTGTCCTGTGTTTCGCGGACACTAATATCAATGTTCCTTAGACGATGCTGAAGAAGCTTTGGGTATTAATTGCAGTAACTGATTAGAGCAGGGAGGCGTGAAAGGAAACTCTGGAAATGTCTTGCTTCTCTTTCCTTTTGCTTGCAGAACTGTTTTTGAACAGCCTCTCACAGCCTTACTCGCTGGAGGAGCAAGAACAAATGCTTTCCTGTCTCAGCATCGACAGCCCGTTTGTGTCGGATGCCAGTGAGAAGGTGAGGATGAACGGATGTTACTGGGGGGGTGGGGGGCGGCAGGGGAACCGCCTCTGGGACACTGGAAGCTGTGGCCAATGGACATCCAGAGTTTCTCATGTTTGTCGCTGCTTTTTGACACCCCGTTTGCTGCAGAGCAGCTTGGGAAGAAATCTTTGTTCTTGGACCACAGGGTATTTAGGATTGTAGTTGTTCTTTAGTTTACTGTCCAGTACGGATCCCTTTCCTCCAGTTGCTCCCCTCTGCTGTACGCTCACAGTAAGCATCAAGTGTGGGGATCAGGAAAATCTCAGCAGCCTTGGCCCGCTCTGTGCAGAAGGCAGCTGCTGAAGAAGCAGCCGTGAGCACAGGAGCTGTGCCAGGTTGGACCAAACAGCTCTGCAGGCCAGGGTCGTCT